AAATCCCAAATCCCAAAATCCCAAATCCCAAAATCCCAAATCCCAAAATCCCCGCGGGGCCCGATCCCAAATCCCAAAATCCCAAATCCCAAAATCCCAAATCCCAAAATCCCAAATCCCAAATCCCAAAATCCCAAATCCCAAATCCCAAAATCCCCGCAGGGCCCGATCCCAAATCCCAAATCCCCGCGGGGCCCGATCCCAAATCCCAAAATCCCAAATCCCAGCGGGGTCTGATCCCAAATCCCAAAATCCCAAATCCCAGCGGGGTCTGATCCCAAATCCCAAAATCCCAAATCCCCGCGGGGCCCGATCCCAAATCCCAAAATCCCAAATCCCAGCGGGGTCTGATCCCAAATCCCAGCGGGGTGTGATCCCAAAATCCCAAATCCAGCAGGATCCCATCCCTGATTCCCAGCCCAATCCCAAAATCCTGATTCCCTGTGCAAACCCAGCCCAGCTTTTCTTGGGATCAAATCCCCATTTCCCCAGGAATTCCCGCCCCATTTTCCCAGGAGTTTCCATCCCCATTTCCCGGGAATTCCCACCCCATTTTCCCCGGGAATTCCCGCCCGTTTCCCAGGAATTCCCACCCCATTTTCCCAGGAATTCCCACCCCATTTTCCCGAGAATTCCCACCCCATTTTCCTGGGAATTCCCGCCCGTTTCCCCGGGAATTCCCGCCCATTTCCCGGGAATTCCCGCCCGTTTCCCCGGGAATTCCCGCCCCTTTCCTGGGAATTCCCACCCCATTTTCCCGGGAATTCCCACCCCATTTCCCCGGGAATTCCCACCTCATTTTCCCGGGAATTCCCGCCCATTTTCCCCGGGAATTCCCACCCGTTTCCCCGGAATTCCCGCCCCATTTCCCGGGAATTCCCGCCCCTTTCCGTCCCTCTCTCCCCGTTTCCCGCAGGCCGAGGAGGTTCTGTCCGTGGTGGATGCCGAGCTGGGATTCCCGGAGCAGTCCCGGCTTTCCCGGGATCGTTGCCGGGATCATTCCCGGATTCCCGGGCAGCATTCCCGGCTTTCCCGGGAGCGCCCCCACGTGTACCTGTTTGTCAGCCCCGGGGGCTGCGTGCTCGGCTGCCTGGCGGCCCACGGCATCCGGCAGGTCAGGGATCCATCCATCCATTGATCCATTGATTCATTGATTGATTGATTGATCGGGGATTGATTGATTGATCGGGGATTGATTGATCCATTGATTGATTGGGGATTGATTGATTTGGGATCAGTTTGGGATTGATGGGTGGATTGGGGATTGATTGATTGGGGATTGCGGATTGATTGATTGGTCAGGGATTGATTCATCCCCATTCCCAATTCCCGCTTTCCCGACCCCATTCCCAGTTTCCCATTCCCAGTTTCCCATTCCCAGTTTCCCATTCCCAGTTCCCCATTCCCCGTCCCAGTTCTCATTCCCACATTCCCATTCCCAGTTCCCATTCCCAGTCCCCATTCCCAGTCCCCATTTCCCATTCCCAATTCCCATTCCCAGTTTCCCATTCCCAGTCCCCGTTCCCATCCCCAGTTCCCATTCCCAATTCCCATTTCCAGTTTCCCATTCCCAGTTCCCATTTCCCCATTCCCAGTTCCCATTCCCATTCCCAGTTCCCAATTCCCAGTCCCCATTCCCATTCCCAGTCCCCATTCCCATTCCCATTCCCAGTTCGCATTCCCAGTTCCCATTCCCAGTTCCCATTCCCAGTTTCCCATTCCCACATTCCCAATTCCCATTCCCACTTTTCCACGCCCGTTCCCGCAGGCGTACCGGGTGCTGCCGGAGCCGGATCCCCGGGACCCCCGGCATTCCCGGGAG